CAGCTAAGGCCAAAATGTCCCGCTGATTATAAGGAAATTCCGAGGGTACTTTCCCCTTTTTATTCGAAGACAAAAAACCCGTCGTGCTCTCAGGGCGAGCTTGTATAGAAAGGATGAATGGCCTTATCTCAAAATACCTTGAAGAAGATAAAAAGGCTCTTAAAAGGCAGGCTTTTCCCGCCAAAAGACGTCAACGCCAAGCTAAATTCAATTTTAGTGACGACGGCAAACGGGAAACCTCAAACCGCTAGCAGGCGTTTGCAGTAAACGCGATGCTAAAGGTCCCTATTCACTCAACATCACCTCAGCAGTTCAAAGTGTTGGGGGGTTTCACCAACTCGCTTGGACGAATTAATGAGAGGTACCCAGACTCTGCACTTTTCTTCTTTTATTTTCTCCTGGAGAGCCACTACAGCAACGCTCTATGCATCTAATACTCCGTGCATCTAATGCTCTACGCATCCAACAATCGTGCGAGAGGAACCAACGCTTTAAGTAGGAAAACCGTAGACATGTTTGGGTTAGCTAAACGTGAGAGTTTCCACAGTGTATCCGTTTATCTTGCAAAAAGGGGGAAACTGGTTGGTTTATAAGTGTTCCAGTTCACAGAGCTGCAACAGCTCTGCTAAGACATCATAACTTATAGGAGAGATGTAGCTGAGATGAGAAAGAAGGATAATAAACCTAATTACAATATAACATATAAAAATATATAATATAAAATATCTACAATATACAATATAATTCAAATATAGCAAAGAAGATAAAGAAGCAAAGAAAAAGAAAGACGAGGAGGACCGTAAAAAAGGAGAGGAGATGAGAAACGCAGCAGTAGAAAGATTAGCAAGTTAATACATGGATATGTAGAAAATGATATTCAGTGGCTAGTTTGTATATTATTATGATTATTGCATTAGGGCTAGTTTTTGATGTACTGATTTTGCTGCTGTATGAGACTAGTTCAGATTAGCTTAGAATAAAGGCTGGGTTTTACTAGTGCACGAGCAAGAGCATTCTAACAAATGGGAATAGCATAATATGATATAAATATGAGCACAAGCACAATATCTGTATGTAAGACCAATATATGTTCCTTGTGCTGACGTCACTTGAAAAGTGAATTAGCATAAGCACAAGTAGAAAATAACATTTCATTTTTGTGCTTTTGTCACACTATTAATTTTGCATGATGAGAATAGCACAAAGATATTAACATGTTTGATCCTTTATGCTCATGGACCTTGATTGCTCTCAGAAAACATTCCTAAAAATATTGACGGTGTTTTGTGTTGCAGTGGTCTCAAATGACTTGTTGATGTCACAGTTTGTAAATTCAGAATTTTTACCAGTGGATTATTTTTTCCTTTCTGGTTCAGAGTTTGAGTGGGGTTGGGGCCTTTGGGCACATGTCTAATTACCCCAAAGCTTATCTGCCACTGCACAGGTATTACTTCTAATGCTTTATAAAATCTATCACCACAGGATGATACTCTAATCAATCAACTTGCTTTATTTAAGAACGTCGCAGTGAAAAGTCTGCCCAGTCATCTAAAGAGAGGATTCAAGTGCTGGAAGTGGGTCAGATGATGAACAGAAAACTCCTTTTAAAGGTATAACCAGTAACTTATACATTCTTATTGCAATTTTAATTGTTTGGTACAAAGAGCTTTGCCAAGCAGATACTGTTTTTAAGTAAAAGCCCCTGCCATTTATTCAAGCCTTTGGGTTTATAATGGAGCACTGGGAGAGGGAATTTATTTGAAAGTAGTGTTGAAATGTCAGAGGGTGTCTATATAAAAACTATATGGCACTTA